TGGTGTGATCAAGGCCTAATCTGCACATCAAATAGATTTTTAAAAAATTTAACCACACAAATATGCTAAAATCCATTTTCGAAATTAAAAATCTTTTTATTCCCACCTATAACAAATGAACTTTCCTAGGATGTCTTCTAGGCTCTGTGAACACTCCTGATTCTTACATATTATAAGAGGAACAATTTGGTGTTTGCTTTGTTGTGTTTATAATCTTTCCAGCCGTAAGAGTATCAGCTGCACTATATCATAGCCTGTTAATATGCGCAGGTGTCCCACAGTGACCACCACAGGTGCAGCTCTCCACTAGCAGTAAATAAAGGACACTAAAATTCATTGCTTGTGTACATAGCTTTTCCTCTCTTGTGGATTAATTCCCTAAAAACATCTCCAGTGTAGGATTAATAGAACTAAATGAATCTTTTCAGGACTAACATTCTTGAGAAGCGTTTGCATAACTAAGGCTACAGTTAACACCACCATTACTAATTACTGACAACTAGAACTCCTTATGAGTAATCAAACACCCAACAAATATACCCAATTTATACTAAAAGCACCTCTTGAAGGTTACAGGCACATCCGTCATGTTCTTAGCCTTAAAACTGCATTGCTTCAGCCCAGCTGGAGTGGGTCAGTTGGTTGAGCACTGTCCTGTGCACCAAAAGGTTAGCTGTTCCATTCCCTGTTGGAGGCACATACGGAAGGCAACTGATGTCTGTCTGTCTGTCTCTGTCTCTCTCTCTAAGCATGTCCTTCAGTGAGGATTAAAAAAAAAACACAACTGCCTTGCTTCACTTCCAAATATATGGGATTCTGTTATCATTTGTTGTTAATTCCTAGCTCAATCCCACTGCCAACATTATCTGTGTGATTGCAGCCCTTTGAAACTTGAAAGGCTTTTTACAGCTCAGCATATGGTCACATTTTATAAATGTTCCTTCTGTAACGAAAATTTTTGTGATTTCCTGTACTTGTAGGTATTTACAATTTTGTCTTTTTTTTTTTCCCTCTCCTTAAAACACAGTAAGTGTAGTTGTCCTATAATCTGTACCTTGTGATTTCAGTATCTGTTATCTCTGGGAGTCCGTTCCGAGGTTTCTGCTGGTTCGAGCTGTGATAAATGCTATGCCAGGAAGGCATTGGGAAAGTCTGAGGCCTTTGGAGGCAGGGTCATCACTTTTTCTCTGCACCTTGGGACATCGTCAGTCCAGGGCTACTTAAGCCAGTTACACTATTTGAGGGCGTTTTGGCTGCCTCGGCATTGCAAACACTGCTGCAGGAACTTTCCCCCGTTTTGCCCCTGCTCTACAGTAACCTGGCAGTTGCTTGGGGGGAAGAATTATTTCTGATTCACTGCTTCCTGAGTGTGCAGCCTTTGTCTACTATCAGTCTCCCCACCTATCTCTCTCACCTGCAAAGACCCCAACTTGCAGGACCATGAGCACCCCCAGGAAGAGGCCCCCTGTGTGCTGGCTCAGGGCTCTGATTTCCTTGACCATACCTGGAAATTCCTGAACCTCTGTCAGCTCCTTGATGCATTGAAGACAACCTCCGGGGTTTCCATTGTTTTCGGTGAAAGGCAAGTAGCCTGGCCATCCTCACTGGAAGCAGGCATCCTGGTTCTCTAGTTAAGGTTTTTGAGTTAACCACACTCAACAGAGGGCACATTCATTTTTTCTGTGACATAATATTTATGAGCACATTTGTCCTCCAAAAGCCTAATGAATATGAAGTCATTTGAGATTGTTTTTAAACTACTTTGTGCTGGGGAAGAAGAATGAAGTCTGTTGCTTTGTTTTATCTCATTGCTCTTGCGAGAGGGTAGAAGGACATTAAAATCAAAGCCTGAACATAAAGCTATAGTCATGGGACACACACAAACATATGAATATTAAGGACTGAGTGAATATTTAGTATATCACAGAGGCTTTATACCACGTACTATAAAGGATACAACAGTCAGTTCTACATAATAGCCTTCACACATTCAGGGTACCTATCACGTGGTAACACTTCAAGGCATTTCTAATAAACTCAATATTCAAGTCAATGTTGGACCAAAATACTGATTAAGGCTGAAGCTGAACACAAAGGTATTGTCTGAAGAATCAAATCAAAATAGACTTTGGTATTATTTTCTGCAGGGTATAAGAACCTGGCTCAATATAAAAAAGTAGTCTCTACTTAAAAATTCACAAAATGCAGAGTGGCGTCATGGACTGGATCTGGAACACGAAAAAGAACGTTAGTGGAAATGATCACTTATTATGAGTTGAACTCCAGATTTTTCCATTTTCCACTTTTTAAAAAAATCCTCATTCAAGGATATTTTTTCCATTACTTTTCAGAGAGAGTGGAAGAGAGAGAGAGGGAGAGAGAGAGAAACAAGGATGCAAGAGAGACACATCGATTGGTTGCCTGCCGCTCTCACCTGGACCAGGGCCGGGGATCAAGCCTGCAACTGAGGTATGTGTCCTTGGCTGGTTTTGAACCCAGGACTCTTCAGTCGGCGGGCTGATGCTCTATCCACTGAGCCAAACCGGCTAGGGCTCTATTTTTCACTTTTTTAAAAATATATATATTTTTATTGATTTCAGAGAGAGGAAAGGAGAGGGAGAGAGAGAGATAGAAACATCAATGATGAGAGAGTCATTGATCCAGCTCGCAACCGGGCATGTGCCCTGACCGGGAATCGAACCCTGATGGCCTGGATCCTAGGTTGATGCTCAACTGATGAGCCACGCCCGGTCGGGCTATTTTTCACTTTTATGAGTATGTAATTCTTTGCTGTGTATGAATTTTTATCGATGTTTCAGGATAGATTCCAAGGAGCTACCAGGTAACTGACTTTTCTGGCCTGATCTTGTTAAAAACATGGTAAAAACCAAAATTTCGTTTGAGCCTGAGAGGGTGGGTGCATTGAAATCCAGACCATGCAGTTGATGATGATAGCTACAGTTTATGGGGCGCATGTCTAATTTTTCTAGATCCTTTGTGGGGGAGGGGCCTACCATCAAGTCTAATCAAGTAGCAAATGTTAGTTGAGTGGTTAGTCAGTTAAGAATAAACATAGATGACTAAGACTCTTACTTGACAGGCAACACTGAAAACAACATGTGTATCAAAACATTATGAGTGCCCGGCTGGCATGGATCAGTGGTTGAGCATCGAACTATGATCCAGGAGGTGGCAGTTCAATTCCCAGTCAGGGCACATGCCTGGGTTGTGGGCTCAACCCCTAGTAGGGGACTTGCAGGAGGCAGCCGATCAATGACTCATCAATGATGTTTCTATCTCTCTCCCTCTCCCTTCCTCTCTCTGAAATCAATAAAGATATATATATATTTTAAAAAACATTATGAGTGCTCCCATTATTTTAAAAAAAACCCTCCAGTTTCTACTTTGCACTCAATCCATGGTCTGCCCACACCAATGTGAGCAAACTGGACTGAGCACTGCCCTTCCCCCTTCAGTTGACTGGCAGCAAGTCTGAGCATTGTCAGAAATTTCTCAGCATATGTCACAAACAGGCTCTAGGAAATAGAAAGACAAGAATCATATAGAACCAGCCCCACAGTCTGAACAAAAAAAAAATCTCAGTTGGGGAATCATTCATTAACATTATCATTATTTCCATTAAAATAGCAGATAATTATTGAACATCTACTTAATATTGGACTTGATCAATGATAATAATTGAGTAAAAGAGATTATTTTAATGGAATTCCTCTGAATATGACATATAAATTGTATAGGCTAAGAACTCTTAATGAAACCTTATGTCTTAAAGTGTTGGCTGTATTTTTTAAAGTAGTAATTCTTACATCTATCTTTTACTGTAATGCATAGTTTTCTAAAGTTAATACTTGTGGACAATTCTGAACTAAAATAAATTAGTTCTTTGAAAAACCCAGACAACTTGTTAACTGTCAGTACATCAACCATTTTACCAGCCTGCAAAATTTTGGCCAAACCTTTGAAGCTCATTGCAACCAGCAAAGTACAGTGTAACTCAGCTGCCTAAAGCAGGAAGAGGGACAATCATATTATGTTTATTCACATCTTACTTTTTCCAAGTCTGATTTCAATTTAAGCTCCGTTAATTCTCTTTCAGACTGACAAGCACTGAATCATGCTAATAGGCAGAACTCGATTTCTCATAAAATGCCCCTTTTCTTTATTTACACACAGCTGAACAATGAGTTCCCATTCATTAATTCTGCACTACATTTTCTGTAATGGATACTGTAATGTCACAAAGACTAGAATTCTGAAATGAAATAATATTGCTCTTTTGTCTTTAACCAATTCTTCTAATCACGTCATCTCCAAAACGTTGCATATGATTCCAACAAAGTTGGACTCAGCAAGTATGCCAGCATGACTTTCACTTCACTGGTCTCACGGAAAACCCATCCTAACCAGATGGAAGCCACTGAGCAAGCCACGGCTTAAAATGGCTAAAACTTTCTATAACTAACCTTCAAATCAATTGGAAAAAAAAAAAGTAATGAAGATCTGCCACCTAAATTGCAAATAAAAATATTTGGAATGGTCCAAATTATTATCAGTTATTGGAAGATAAGAGAGAAAGGGGATGAGGAAGGGAGGAAGGAAGGAGAAAACAAGAGAAAGAAGGGAAGGAAAAGACAAGGGGAGAGAGGAGGGAGAAAGCAAGGAGCAGAGGAAGGAGGGGAGGAAGGAAAAGTTAGTTGGCGAAATCCTTTGACCTGTCATGGGGGAGGCAAGGGATGGTCATCCAGTGGCATTGCTAAGCTATTCAAGTTCTCTTGAGAAAATACTCCCTTGGAGTGGAAATTCTAATATTCAGTTCTTTGCTAAGCATGCAGGGGCAATCCTCTGGCCCTTTCTTCTCTCCTGAGCGTGGATGCCTTGACGACGGTCACGTGATCCTGCAAACACAGCCCTCTCCAGGGTTGCGCCTCAGCCTGACCCAGTCTCTCTCTGACCGGAGCAGGTTGGTGGTGGTGTTTGAGATGCGTAGGGCACCCCGGCTGACGCTTCCCTGCAGAAGTGAGTGCCTGCAGAGCACATGGGAGAAAGCCTACCAAGATCACAGGAAAAAGGTAGGAAAGGCGACTGTCAGGTCCTGATGGCTTGGGGTGAGGCCCCCCAAGGCAGTAGCTATGAAATTCCATAGTTATTGGAAACCAGAAGCTAACTTTCTTTTCAGAGATGGATGGTTGAAGTGACATTTCCTTAAAAAGTCGGTCACATAAGTTGCCGTACAATAAAAATTCCACTAAATAGATCATGGTTTTCATGTGTCATGTTTTAGGACCATTCCTTTCTCAAGTAAGGCATATGTTTATAAAGTACTTAATTTTTCTTAAATCATTCAAAAGTATCTTAAGACAAAAAGATCCAAGGGACCCTTTCCCCTATCAAAACAGGATATTCCAGTGGGAACAAAAAGCCAGGTTTTATTGCTGTTTTTTTAACCCTCACCTGAGGATATTTTTTCCATTGCTTTTCAGAGAGAGTGGGAGGGAGACAGGGAGAAGCATCGATGTGAGGGAGACGCATCGACTGGTTGCCTCCCTCACGCACCCTGACCAGGGCCAGGGATCGAGCCTGCAACTGAGGTGCGTGCCCCTGGCTGAAATCAAACCCAGGACCCTTCAGTCAGTGGGCTGACGCTCTAACCACTCAGCCAAACTGGCTAGGGCCAAAAAAAGTTTTTATATCCATTAGGAGATTCATTATTATTTCCATTTTATTTGATGCAAATGTGGACGACTTTTGAGAAGGTGATTATGTGGTTCCCAAATGGCTCGCCCTGGTCTCCTGCCTGTGGGACCTCAGAGGAGCCATCCAACTACCCAGTGCTTGGCTGGTTATGCCTCCACATCGTTGTTCACCAAGGTTAAGAAATGCTCGAAGAAGATGTGCTGGAACAGACTGTTGCTCTGTGATCATCTGCAGTGATCCCCCAGGCAGTGAACCCAAGGTTTCTGCAGGATAACAAGACCCAGGCACAGGCGGGCCTTTCTGCTCCTTCAGGTTCTGCCTGCCTGGGTTGTGACATGACATGGTGGCCTCAGGGAGGCTCGGGTGGCACTTACTACAAGGCTGGCCTGGTGCCCACATGCACAGCTGGGCCCTAAACCCACTGTCCCCCTTGAGAGTCCCCCGAGCACTCTCGGCCGGCTGTTCCAGGGCTCACCCTTCTTCCTTAGGCCTCGGGCCTTCCTAGTTCTGTCTGCGCCCTCTCTAGCACGCACCTCCTCAGGGCTCTGTGCCCCCTTGTTCTGCTGTCTGACGCCGCTCCATCATTGGTTTATCATTTTATGTTGTTTGCTTCTGCCAGTCTGGGAGGGTGGTGGCCGTGTCCTGCCCCCATGACAGTCTCAGCAGCTAGAGCACTCGCTTAGTAAATAGTTGTTGCTAGGGAAAGACTGAAAAGGGCTTGCACGACAGTAACAGCATAAATCAGTTAGCATCACCTCTTTGAATAACTGACAAGAATGTAAACACCACGGGTGTTGTGCTGTTCATTTTGTATCCCAAGGACTAGGATCCTTCCTGGTAAGAGACCGGTGGTTGATAAACACCCCCAGTTTACGTGAGCGAGCAGGCTCTGCGCCTAAGAAACTGTAAGACAAGGGAGATTCGAAATAGTCATTGTGGAAAGTGGAGGACTGGCTGAATGGCGAGGGTGCCGACAGCTTGGCATGGGCCCGGGTGTGGTCGGGGAGCATAACGTCACCTAGCACCGGCCCGTGCAGTTCTGCGATGTCCCAGAAGCACACGGTTGCTGGGTCTCACAGTGGGGTGCTGGCTCACCCCAATATGGCTCGTGGCCAGCAGCAGGGCATGGGACCAGGGAACCAATGATCTTGGCCAAGGTGTGAAAGGGAAGGCCACAAATCTTACCTGGCAGTGCATGAAGTAAAGAGGAGGAGCCAGTCAAGGAGAGACGCTAGGAGCCACATAAGGTCAAAGAATCACTCTTGAGCACAGTTCAGGAGGCAAGTAGTCGATGTGTCTTTCTCACATCTGTGTTTCTCTTTCTCTCTCTCCCCCTCCCTTCCTTCTAGTCTCTCTGAAAAGCAATGGAAAAACTATCCTCAGGTGAAGATTAACAAAATAAAAAGATTATCAACTTCACTGGTAATAGAGATGCAAATTAAACTTGCACTCTAATACCATTTCTCAACTATCAGATTGGCAGAAGTCCCCAAACTTGTCGGTAGTGCTCTGGTGGGCAAAAGGGCACAGCCCTGTGGGGGAGTGGGTTGGGGGTGATTTAGCAACGTCTAATGAAATTATACACGCATTTTTCCTTTACCCAGCAGTCCCATTTCTAAGTATCCATTCCAGAGGTATACTGGCAAAGATACAAAAAGAAATTGAGAAAGATTCTAATTGCAGCATTATTTGCAACAGCAAAATTGGCACTAACCAAAATGCCCATCAAAAGTGAGCTGGGTGCATAAATTAGATACTTTCACACAGTGGAGTACCATGCAGCTATAAAAATTAATGAGAGCCCCGCCGGTGTGGCTCAGTTGGTAGAACATCGCCCATGGACCAGGAGGTCACAGTTCAATTCCCGGTCAGAGCACATGCCCAGGTTTCAGGCTCGATCCCCCGTGCAGGGGCGTGCAGGAGGCCGCCAATCGATGATGTTCCTCTCATAGATGTTTCTATCTCCCTATCCCTCTCCCTTCCTCTCTCTACCTCACTCCAAAAATGTTTTTTAATTAAAAGAAATGAATGAGAGACATCGGTATATATTACTATAAAGCTTTCTCTAGAATGTACTTGGAAATAAAAAAAACAACAGGTGAAAATGTGTAAAATGTGCCCTTTCTATCTAAAAAAAATGGTAAATGTACATACACACACACAGGTATCATTACACATACATAATATATATCTTTATATTTTCAGAAATGAAAGGAGTAACTGTAAAGTTAGAAGATTTGTTAATAGGGATAGGGCTCAGACCACTTGGAAAAAGAAGTTGTTTGACATATTTGATTTTGGAGCAATGTAAATATTTTACATACTATAAAACAAAATGAAATTTTAAAAACATTCCAAAATGAGTGTATTATTCAAACCCTCTCACCGTGTAGCCCTTTCAGCCTCTCCTGGCTCTCCCTGAAGGTGCTCCGTCCCATCACCGTGGGTCTGATTCCCAGAGTGCATGATGCTCACGTTATCATTTTAGGTAGACTCAGCTGGTGGAACCTCCCAATGCTGTCGCTTTCAGATTATCAACTAATAGGTCCCAGTAGTTAGTGATATTCTATATAGATATATTCTATATAGATATATTCTATATCTATATAGAATCTGGGGGGATTCCGTCTTATTGCAAATGGTAAACAGCCCTCATGCATTTAGTCCATCACATTTTAAAATATAAATTTCTTCTCTTGTTGGCACATTTTCTGATAGGAAACTCTGCAGGGATCATTTTGTAGTTAATCGATGTTGAAAGCGCTCATCCTGAAAATATTGCTGGAGGCTCAGAGATTAGGCTGAGGTGGATACAGGGACATAATTCACTGTCTTAAAGGCCTCGGCAATGGGGTGCAGAATAGAAATGTCAGCTGGTGGTTAAGGTTAATGAACCCATTTAATTCTCCCCTTGAAAATGGCATGATGGGCTTATTTTTGAGGGCTGCCTTGTTCCTCCAGGGGATATTCAGATTCTGAATCAAGTCCTGAGCCTCATTCAGAACTTTCTGCCACAGGCCGACTTGGAATCTTCGGTGCCATGTATAATGATCTAGACACATCCCCAGGGCCAGCAACCCAGAAGTTACACAACCTAAGCTCACATTAATTATCTACTGCCAGCGTGCCTGCCGTCACACCGCCCTCCCTGTGCTGTAGGTCCGTGAGGCCCAGCCACTCGTGGACACCCGTGCCCCGCTGTCTCTCAGCCACCTCCACCTGAACCTCAAGAAACTGAAGGTACCTTTCAGTTTTACCTCTCAGCTACCCCCATAGCTAACTAAAAAACGTCAGTTTAAAAACCCAGGAAAATGGCAAAGGCAGGCTCAGTGAGGAATAAACAAGTTACTATCAAAGACAAAATGCTGTCTAGGCAGCCAATTAACCTTGTCACGCTCTGAATGAAGCTGGTGGGTAATTGCACCAGAAATCTTCCTCTAGTCTTCCTGTTGATCCATCAGGTCTTGAGGAAAGGGGGGGAGGAGGGAGGAGAGGAAATTCACAGTGGTAATTTATTCAGTGCAGTTCTATAGTAATTAATTAATTAGCATTATTTCTTTATACCAAGCCATTTCATGGCCACCTCAGAATATTTATTTCTTGAAGCTTAAGCCATCTAGTGAAAGTAAAAATCACATGGTTATGCTGATAGTAATGCCTCTGAAAGCAAAATGCTGTGTGCATTCTATGTGCCTGTTAAGTAATAATATCCTAAATGGGTGGAACAAAAACTAAGTAACCAATTTAGAGCAACTCAGTAGAGCAATCAATTAAAAAACCTAAAGCAAGAGGAGTGGTTGTTTCCCCTAGGTTTAAATCTTTTCTTCTTCTGAACAGTATAAAATATATTTCTTAAAATATAAAGTGATTTCCTCAGTAGCGTCACCGTCACAGGTCAGAGTTTTAGAGGATGACCTAATTTCACAAAGAATCATATCATCCTTACTGTTACTTCCCCTCTGAGCATATGAGATTTGGCTCCATCCTAATGTCTTCCAATTCATAGACAAAGGAGACTGCATATGTCACACTCATTGCAGAAGCTTGCTACAGCAGTGTTTGCTGATATTTGGGGGGCAATGTAAAACCCACAGGGTGCTCAAGTCAAAGGAAGTGTGGGGTTGAAGGAGTCCTCTGAATAAATCTGTGCACGGTAATAGCACAGATGCAGCTGGTGCTTCTAAAGGGTCCTGTGTGTCTGCACATAGCTGGAGCAGGAGAGGCTCTCCGTCATTGACAGGGACAACCGCCTGCTGCTGGAGAAGGTGTCCTGCATCATGAGGACCAAGGGACAGACTGACAGCAGAAACAACTACACACACAGGAGGTAACTGGGACCCCAGCACCAAGCCTAGAAGGACCTGGAGCTCTTGGCTCCAGGGCCTGAGCAGAAGAGTTGCCCAAGAGCAAGAGTGAGGCATTTCCGGCCTCTCTCAAGAGAGTTGCCTTTTTCTCTGTGGTCCATGACTCAAAGTTTTACCTGAAATTCAGCTTCACTCTGGGGGGTTTGGGGCAGGTAGAGTTGACCTGGGTGTCAGGAACATCCTATGCTTCCTGGTTGCACCCACTGTCCAGTCACTGTCATTAAAACTTGGAGCTATGCGTCAACCTCCATTTTCCTGGGACAGTTTACATTAGATCTGGCATCACTTTCTGCTTTAAAGACAGATATTTAACCAGAGTATAAAATTGTTGTTAAGTGTTGCTTACCTTAAAGCTGCAATGAAGGGGCCTAGGATAACAGTTAATCCCAGCTATCACTCAGAGAGAAGCTTACCATTGTCCCCATTGCAGCTCCAGTGTGCTGAGATTTTACCCAGGGAGAGAAGCAGACCATAAAACAGGGAGCTTTTGATCTGTCCCCAAAAGGAACTGGCTTCATTTGCAGCAGAGTGTGGGGAAGTTCAAGACTCATTGGACATGAAATAAAAAGCATCCCAATTGGGAAGAAAGAATAAAACTGTCTCTATTCACAGATAATATGATCTTCCATATAGAAAATCCTGAGGAAACCACAAAAAAACAGCTGTTAGAACCAATACTCAAGTTATGTTTCACTGGAAAAAAGAATCAATTAAACATAAAAGAAGACAGGAATATAGGAAATAAGGAACAAAAAACTATAGGAAATGAAAACAAATATAAAAATGGCAAAAGTTCCTCCTTATCAGTAAATTCTGGTGCCCCTTCCCCATCCCTGCCTTCACTTCAACACAGTCTAATGCTGCAGATTTCTTCACACAGTTACATCTTTGGCCCTGTTGTCACCCTGAGCATCAGCTAAACAGGTAATTTCACGACCCATCTTAGAACATGTGCTCAAGTTCCAGCTCCACCGGTGAACAGTGCTCAATAAATCTTTTGATGGTGTATAATGCTCCACTGTTATTCCCTATTTCAACAACTCTCCCCATATTGGCCTAGTCACTTGATCCTAAAGCCTGTGCTTCATTCATCTCTCCTTGCTCCTTGGCTCTCCCACAGCTGATGGGGAGTGAGCTGCTCTTGGATCTTCCTCTCTGACAGTTCCCTTCCCCATTTGAATGGAGCCACCCGATTCAGGCTTTCCTCACCTCTCACCTGGACCACTGCAGAGGACTCCCAATTAATGCCCCCTCCCGTCTCATTCCCTCCTACCCATTCTCTACCCTTTCTCCACAGTGATCTAAAATGCATGTTTCAATGTGGTCTAATGCCATTTGATGACTCTCATGGCCTTCAATATAAATCAGAATTCCTTGAGCTGCACACAAGCCTCTGTCAACCTCCCATTACACTTTGCCCAGATGAGCCACCCCACCTGGGATGCCCTTCTTCTCCTTGCTTGCCTGGTGACACCCATTATTCTTTCAAGCCTCGTCCCAGCATTACTTCTGATTGCCACTTCTCGCCACTGCCATCAAGGAAGCCCTGAGCATTCCCACCTCTGTGTCCCCACCTGCATCTACAACACTGCATTGCCTTTTCTCCTCTACATGTCATCTCCCCTAATTGGGCCGTAAGGTCCCTGAGTTCAGAGCTATGTTAGTTCATCTCTGAAGCCCAGCATCGTCCAGTCCAGGAACCTAGAGAAGGACGGGCTACTACGTGCTTGGGAAACAAGTGAAGGAGAGCAAACACTCCCTCTCTGGGAGCCCTGCCTGCCCAGTTGGCACTCAGGCTCTCGCTCTTGAATGCAGAATGAGAACTCTGTCTTGGGCTTTAACTCTCTCGGCACTCCAAGAAATATCTATGGTGTTTTTGTTGTTGTTGTTTTAGTCTAAACAGAGGGGGAAAGAACAGGAACTTCGCAGGGTTCAAAGGAAAAGCAATGTGCGGCAAAGAGAAAACAAAATCATTTTGGGAAAGATCACAAACTCAGAGCCATCGTGTCAAGCTCGAAAATGGCAAGAAGCCTGGGCAAGGACTGAGAAGCACCAGCAGGCCCTCTCGGAGCATCCTGGGCGTCGGCAGGCAGGCCATGGGAAAAGGTACCTGTGGTTTCTTTTTCGTTTTAAACCCATAGCTATCTCAAATTTCCCTTTACTTCCTCAGATTTATCAAACATATGGGCTCATTGATTCTTTGCTATTTTAGGGCATTTTATTCTCTTGTCAACAAGGGTATAGCAAATGGTCATACCCTAGTAATAGAAGACACAGGACAAGGCTCAACTGATGAATTCATCCACACACAAAAATTATGAGCAGATAAAAATGAGTTCAGTCTACTGATTATAGGTTGTGGGAGAAAGGTTTGGTGAAAAATAATAACTTAGAAGGACAGTATGCATTAGGAAATCATGTGACAAACCTGGATCAGCTGGCACACACTGCATCCAGAAAAGCAAAGAAAATCAGTAATTACAAAGAGTTTGCCAGGTAAGTTAAACTCTGAACTCCCTCTTTATCTTATCCTCTTTGCTGGAACAACCATAATTCTGAATGAAGAAAAATGAAAATTTAATTTTGTCATTAACGTCTTGCTAATGAATGCCCCAATATATCAAAGGAAAGACCTGTAAAATCTTCACTCACTCCCCTTGCCTGGAGTGGGACATTTCGGCACATTGTTTTCCCTTGAAACTTGGTCAGTTATAGGGAAAAATGGATGATATAAAAGTTTAAATAAACACTCCTGGCCCCAAGCCCCCACCCCCCTGAGCATGCTCCAGCCCCACAGGATTCATCCCATGCTCCTTCCCCAGGATCCTGCTCCTTTCGGTCCTTGCTAATCCCATAGGCATTGGAGTTGATGCTGGCTCTACCAGCACTTTTTTCCCTGCCTGGTAGGGACGTTGAGAAGCCCTATCCTTCCTGCCTGCTTGCCTTGGACTTTTCTTACAAAATCTTGAGGCATGGAGAAAACAAATATCTTTTGCAAAGATGCTTAACTAATAAGCAATTACTAGCTATTAAGACATTCAGAAAATTTAGTTTGTTTTGCAATTTACATTGAAAACGTGAATATTTTGTTTCAAATCTTCAATTTCATTATTTGTTTGTTTAAACAAAAATAGTTTTCTGTAAATTGCTCATTTCAGTCAGTAGCACAGCAATTTTCAACCTTTTTTATCTCATGGCGTACATAAACCAATTACTAAAATTCTCTGGCACACCAAAAAATTATATATATGCTTTTTACTGATCTGACAAAAAATAGGTACAATTTTTATTTATTCACACCAGACGGCTATTGTTGTGTAGGCTGTTGTCATTTTTTAATTTGATATCTAAGGGAAAAGAGGTCAGTGTCCCTGACTAAATAGTCAGGTATTGCAAGTTTTAAAAATTCTTGTGACACACCAGTTGAAAATCGCTCCAATGACATATCCTAGAAATAGTTTCATGTCAGTACAAAAAGATAGCTTCCATTCTTTCTGAGCTGTTAGAACGTATTTTTGTACAGAAGTGCCCTAATTTATTAAGTCATTTCCCTAACTAAGGAAACTTACATTGTTCCCAGTTTTTTCCTATTCCAATGAAACTATGGCAATCATCCTGGCTGGTATGTAATTCTGTAACTTATATTCCTAGAAGTAAAATTGTTCAATTAAAAGGTATGCCCATATAATTTTCAGATACTGCCCAATTGCTCTCCAAAATGGTCCAGCAATCTGCACCTCCACATACAGTAGCAGCAAATTATTTGCATCCTCACACTCTTGCCAACCCTCAGTATCATACACATTTTACAGTCTCATCTCACTTGATTTCTTCTGTTATGAATTAATTGTCTGTTCATACCCTTTCATCATTTTCCTACTGGGTATGTCTCTTAGTTATTAGTATGTAGTAACTGTTTACATATTATCAATAATGACTTTTTTCTATTATCAGTGTCACAAATATCAGTGTGACTATTACTTATCATTTTGATACCATTGTAATTAATAATAGCTAGTTATTAATAATAGAAAAGGTGCAGAGGGAAGGCCAGACATTATAGGCATGACATTTGGGCAGCTTCGTCAGGAAGCTGGAAATTCACACTTTCCAGGGAACCACTGTCCCATTTCCCTGCAGATCACTGGGGGAAAGGATCCAACAAAGGGGAGATAGACACATGCACAGTGAAGTTGGGGTGACTAGGGAAGATGCCTATCAGTCACACGTAGGAACATATCATTGGCCAGAACTGGCATGTCCACTGCAAGCAGGTGAAAATTTGGGAATACATAATTTTCTAAACAAAGGAATTCTCTCTCTTGGCTCTTGGCTCCTGGGTTTCTCTCATTCCTGCTTTCTTGCATTTGCCCATGTTTCCTCCATAGCCATGTGGCCCTTTGGACCTTACATGCAATGGACTGATGAACTGCAGCAGGGAACACAAGCTAAGCTAGCCTGATCCTGAATTGGACTGTCCCAACGTGGAACGGAAACTCTGGACACTGACTCTGATTCTAGCCCTACCGAAGACACAGCTGTACTTCTTCCTTGGCAGGACGAAGGGAAATGAGACCTCGGAAACAAGGGTGTAATTCCATGCAAATAAAGATCATTTGTTCTCCTATGCGAGTCTCAGAAAATTCTTTTTCTTGGGATATTGCAAGAATTCCATTTCCACAAGCATCAGGTGAGAATTAAGACCTCTCCCCACGAGTAACAATTTCACCTATATTAGGTAGTCAAATCTGTCACTATTTTGCTATATGGCATCAGGTTCTTGTGCCATACACAGAAAGGGCTCTCTCAAGCTAAGATTGGAAAAATATTCTTCTAAATCTTTTACAGTTTTCTTGATTAACTTTAAATCTTTAATTAATATAGAATTTAATAAATATGGAATTTTTAGACATTGTGTAAGTTAGAGATCAAAGTTCATTTTTCCCAAATTTACTGCAAGTTAAAAAAAAAAGTCTGCATTATCAGAAACTTTTCATATTCCTCATACTTCCTACAAACTGGTTTCCAGAGGTTTCCAGGGGCTTGCCTGCCCCCAGCAGAACACAGAGCATTTCCTAGGCCCTCGCTAGCACAGAAGCAGGAACGGCCTCCTCAGCAGTCACTGAAGCTATGTTTCTTCAAGTGAGCTGTGTCCGGGGACCCTTTTCCACTGGGATCCTGTTTTTATCTGTATTGCTATCTCTGCTGCCCTCCTTCGGTTTATATCTGTCAAATTTGTTTTTTTTATATCATTTTATTTTTTAATATCTCCATGCCATTTTATTTCAGGTTGTGTCTTCTAAGCAGAACACTGTGATTTCGTTTTCCATTCTTGTCGAACAGGCTTTTCTCCCCTCCATTCCATCTATTTATATTTATTGACATGCTAATCATGTTCGCTCTCATTTCTGACTTGTTTTGTTTTCATTTCCTTACTTTTCCCCCATTTATATTGTTTTCTTCAACAGAGTAAAAAAAATGCTTGGAACCTATGCTTCAATTCCAACTTTCATTCATTCACTTCGACTCTCTTGAAAGTCTCCTTTTACATAACAGGAAACAGATAAAGCCCAAGCGATGTTAAGATAAAGCAAAACAAAGAAAGGGGAAAAAGAAGCCTGTAGAAACAGGGTTTTCGGCAGCCGCAGCCTAGAGACCGATTTGTTTGCAGTGTCACCAGCCTCCCCGAGCGTTTCAGGCTTGGTCCCTGTGATGCAGTCCTGAGGAATGGTGTCTTGACAAAGAGAACTTGAGAAGCACTCGGCTCTGACAAAGACCAGAGGCAGGGAGCCAGGGTGGCAGGCGTCCCAGCGCCGGGCCTCCTGGTGGAAGTATCGCTGCTCTGTGCTTTCCTTCCTCCCGAGAAGACAAGCATGGGAAGCGTAAAGCAACAACAGCCAACTCACTGCCTCCCAAGTGGGAACTGTGACCCGAGTGCCCCAAGTCAACAGGCAGATCTGTCACGAGCGGCCACCACACCCTCTTATAAGTTTCCAGGGCCTTCTGCTTCAGAGTGGGGG